GCCCGAGGGTTCACCTCTTCTTCAAAGAACAATACTCATAGTCTATTGGCTGAGTGCTCATTCAAGGATTTTCAGCAGAAATACAAATGAATTTACTAAAGAGGGGAGAAAAAGCCCCAAAGCCCTCTGAGCCCAATATTCATGTCAATACCAAATTAGCATTGAATAATGGCATCCATTTCCTCTTTCACATCACAGGCAGCAGGACAGCAGTTGCCTGTAGAGACGTTGTGATGTAGCAGGGGCAGGACTCCCCAGATAGGAGAGGACTCTTTAGCCCTTCATATCCTGCCAGTGGGAGATTCAATTAAAGCATTACTGATGTGGTAGTAGTGTTGGGGGTGGGGGTGGAGGGTTGGTTGTGGTGTGGGGGAGCTAACTGCAAACTGATGGGCATCAGTTTCATCATTATTCTACCAAAATGATGTGTGTAGGTGCCGAGGGAAGAGACTGGCAGTTGTATTGTGGCTGCATTTTACAATACAATACAATGCCACTCACAACCTTACAGCCATCTTCAAATGTAAATATATTATTGCTGTAACAAACAATTATTATTATAACGGGTTTATATATTAATTATTTTAAGTGTGTAACATTTAGGGTGAGCTGTTGGCAGATAATGGAAAATAGTATTCATAAGTGGGCTTTCATTACTGTATAATCACTTGAAAATAACAATGGTTATGTTTTTTTTGATACCTTAGAATGAGCAGTTTTCCACAGAGGCAGTGAGTCCTCTTCTATAAAGTCACGTTTAACCACCATGTTTCTAGAGTAACGGACAAACCACAGTTGGGCCACTGTAGCTCCTCTTACGCTTGGAGCGCGATCTGTATTCAACTGGCATTTTATCCACTAATTATTAACTAATTTTATCCAATACTAATCTGATCAGTTTTTTTTTTTTTATGTTTTTGAGCAAAAACTAACACCTTGAATTTTAGGTCAAACCTTTTTCTCTGTGCCGCCACCACGAGACTTGAACGTGAACGTCGTTTTACGGCATCCAGAATACAGACAGTGAGCTAATGATAATATTCACAATTTTGATTAATTTTAATGAAACACTTTATTCTTTTGAGCTGTGGACCCTTTACGGACTAACAGTATAAATGATCAAGGAATGGGCACAGACTTAATGATTACTTCAGATGTTGGGAGTCAGCACTTTTTTTTGTCTCCCTTGTTTACCATGCTGGTAAATCAAAATTAATAAACCTTTATATTTATGTAGTAGGTGTTAAGCAGCTTAAAACTTGCTCAAGTGGACGACTTTAAGAGGATTTATACATCCAAGGAACTTCTATAAAATCCAGACCAGGCCTCTAATGGAGACCTCCCGTTTATTTGGGACTGCTTGTATTAATAGTTTAAATGATTATTTGTCGTGCTGTGGTTTTTTACTGACTTCCTTTTACTCCACGTGTTTTCCTCCTGTATAAAACCTGAGCTCATTCATGTTGTCACTATTGAGTCGGGAAGCTGAATACACCTTCGCCAACGATGAAGCACCTTTTAAAAAAACAAATATAGTATCGAGCTTTCTGCCCCGCTGTTAAGCCTCTGCAGTTTAATGTCATCCCCCTGTCCTCAGCACAGTGTCAGGATGTCCAGAGGAGTCGTGTTGGCTGTGAGAGGCTTGCAGCAGCACCTGGTGCGTCTGAACTGGAAACTTGATCATGGGCAGGTACAAGAATAGCTCGACAAGACCGTGAAGGCCACTCCCCTGACCTGCTGTGAACTGTCATTGAACTTCTGTCCCCGCTGAGGACAAAACCGTGCTCGATGTTTGTGTGGGAATGTATCTTTGGGCTCGGGTTTTCCTTTAACATGTTGCATTTTAACATCAATAAATCATCAACGTGTCAGTGTGGAGATGCGGTGTGTTTATGGTAAATAAATAAGCAACAACTGCTATATTTTACATACAAAACATGCTTTTCTTCGCTTACAAATGGGGACTAAACTTTTATGATTAATGGAGATAAATCATGAATGAATATGGGTACAGAAAGTAGTTGTTTGTTAAATTCAAGAGGCAGCAGCTTATCATCTAAACAGTCTGCTGGTTGGTCCTAGTCAGGGTCTATTTCAATTAAACTCAATTTAAATTCAATTTTATTTGTATAGCGCCAATTTATAACTAAAGTTTTCCATTAAATATCTTGTAACAAAGACTGAGTTACAGTCTCTGTCATTGTTGTTTATTTTTGTTTATTTCGCCCATTTTGACGTACAAAACATTAAATAGAACAACTGACGTGTGAATTATTGAAACTTGGTGATCAATGCGATCGTATTCTGCTAATTACACTAACAGGATATCTTTTTTTTAGTTAAGAGAGTTACTTTAAGCCCTAAAACATAGAAAATAAAAAATAAAATTAGTAGATTTTGATGGTTTAGATTTATTTGGTCTCTGCTGCACTGATACAAAACCTTTAAAAGTACATTTACTCAAGTACTAAAATTTTTAAAATTGGGGAACTTATCTGAGTATTTCCATTTTACGTTATATCTCCAGTCTACTACATTTCAACAGTAAGATGCTACTTATACATTAATAAATCAGTAATAATAAACTAATGATATATATATATATATATGAACAGGGTTTGTTTAAATTGACATTATGCAGTTTTGCTGTTTTATCAGTTCAGGACTTTTCACTTGTAACAGGGTATTTTCACAGTGTGATAGTGCCGAGATGGAAGAATTATTAAGATCTTTGAGTAAAATTAGCAATACCACAGTGTAAAAATACTCTTTAGGTATAAAGTACCAAAAACTACTCATTATACAGAGTGGCCCATGTATTATATTACTTATTATTATTATAATTAGTGATGCATTAATGTGTAGGCTACATCATTTTTAATGTAGAGTAATTACTAATCACTTTATATACTGCTGGGTAGCTTAATCTCTATATCACATTTTATTTGTTGATCATATTTTGTATTAATAATAAAAATCTGTATAACTATCAAATCAAACGTAGGTCTAGAGTAATAGAAAGTACAATAATTACCTTCAAATGTAATAAAGAAGAAGCATAAAGTAGCATTATGAGTAAAAGTGTACAGTATTTCCATCACTGCTGCTTCTACTTAAGTACATTTCTCTCTCTCTCTCTCTCTCTTTCTCGACATCTCTCTACATTTTCCACCTGTGCTGTTATATCTGTTCCTCAGCAGGACGCAGTGACAGTCCCGGGCCGACCCTGACACAGCGGTAGGACCACCGTTTGGAAAGCGCCTCTCTGACAACACACACACACACACACACACACCCATGTGCGGCCAGTAGGAGGGGCCATGTGCTGAGGTGTTCGAGAAGGTGATGCCGTAAACGCGGCCTGTGTGTCGCAAACCAGGTGTCTTGCGTGGGGAAGGTGATGTCGTAAAGCGGACAGGGGAACTGGAGGGGAGGGGTGAGGCGGAGAGGTGGGTGGGTGGGGGGGGGGGACAGGAGGGAGGGAGGGAGGGAGGGAGGTGACTTGCGAGCGGCTGCGCTTCAGACTCAGCTAGAGGATCATGGCGGATGGCCCCAGGTGTAAGCGCAGAAAACAGGCGAACCCGAAGCGGAGCAGCGGTAAGTCCCCAAACTCTGACCGTCACCGCCGCCGGGGCGAGCCTCGGCCCGGGCGGCGGTGAGCTTTCCCCACTCGGTGAACTCCTCCTGGAGACTCTGTGGGAGTGAGTTGGACCACGTTTCAGGGGAGTTTTGAGCAGTATTAGTGTGTTCATATAGCCCCAGTGTGGTGGTGTACCGTTATACCTGGCTGGCTTTCTCTCTCTCCGCCTAGCGGTGCACGGGTCCTCGCCCCCTCCCCCGGCTGAGGGAACCGTTATCCGTCAGCGAGAAGGACCCGAGGAGCGCTTCATCAGAAGTTATCCGTGTTTTTTCTTTTGATTTAACTTTGTTCCTCGCGTTGTTTGTGCACTTTTCTGCCACTTTTTCCACCCGTGGTAACACTTGGCGGCAGGTTGTGGAGGCTTATAACAACGTGGCCCGTTGAGCGCAGTTTGGGTAGTTTAACTGGCTGGTTTTCTCCTTCAGGGCGGAGGTTTTTTTTTTTGTTGCGGAGGGGTTTTTTTTGTTTGTTTTTCATGTTAACTTGCAGCCGGGATGGTGCAGATTCTCACTCCCCAAAATCAGTTTTAACTTTATCGGTTCGTGTTGATGGCCGGATGGGTTGTTTTTTTGTTTTGATACGTTTTTGCATGGGCTTTGGTCTGCTGCTCCGGTGATGGGATGTTTATTTTATCTCCACTTCACCCCTCCCTTGCTGCAACTGCAACACCACATGTTTCTCTTAGTTAAGGTAAGAGTGGGAATTGTGCTTGTTTTAAAATCCTCCTGAAGTCTTGATCGCCATATATATCTTAATGCATGCGTTTCCTCGTTGCCTGCGCCAGTTTAGCTTTATTAATTTGGCATTTTTTGGTTATTCTGAGTGTTTTTTGTTAATTATCTTGCAAATTTGCTCCTAATGCACATTTTCGACTTTTGCTTTTTGCACCTGCCAATTCGGGTTATGTGAACCGTTATATAACCGTATAATAAATGTAGTTTTGGGCCATTATAAGGGAAGGTATGCTTTATTTTCTACGCATAGATACACCACATTCACCTCCTTTTGCTCAGTGGAAACTTGCTGTAATATAGTTGTAATAATCCTTTAATATCACCTACAGGAAGTTATATCATTATTAAAAAAATGATCTCGGAATAGCAGTGTGAGAGTGTGGGAGCATTTTTTTACCCACACAATGGGGGGGGGGATATATTTTTAAGTCCAAGTAAGTAAAGTAAAAAGCTATAAATATAAAATTCAGGTCTGTTGTAATAACTTTAAATTAAAACACAACCCCTCTGGAGCCCACGGTCTCTCATTGGACGGTTCCTTACCTGTCCCCCCCTCCCTTCCTCTCTCTCTCTCTCTCCCTCTCGTCGTATTAGCCAATAAAAAAAGTAAAAAGCTATAAATTTATATATTTTTAGACACCGTTATGAGGCGTGATGTGTGTGAGCCGTGGGGCTGGAAAGCACCTTTTTTTTCCTCTCTCCTCCTGCTGACGACACGACGGTGACTGCGCGTCCGTACAGGAGCTCATCATCATCATCATCATCATCATCATGTTTACCTGAACGCGGATAACGGGGCTGACAAATGGCCTAGAAATAAACAGAAATAGCACCTGCGGCTCTCGACCGTTCACGGAACCGGATCCGCTCGTTTTCCTAAAGGCTCGGTGTCTCGTGAGGAGCCTGGAAAAACCGCTCCAAATGTCAACTTGTGCAGGTAGATGATGATTTTTTTTTTTTTTTTGTAGTTTTCACCATGCCAAAGCTTCACATGGATGCTCGCCTCTTTTTTTTTTTTTTTTTTTTTTATTCTCGCGGGATTTATCTCATCGACACGCATTTTTGACCCACTTGTGCATGTTTTATCTTCCCTTTTATGTATGTGTGTGTGTGTGTGTGTGTGTGTGGACGGACTGGGTGCCTTGTTTTGGTCGGGTGCACCCTGCAGCCCTGTGTGTGTGTGTGTGTGTGTGTGCACGGTAAAACGAGCGGTGCATAAGGTGGTTTATCCCTCTTGTTATTTGCCCACCGTGTACAATAACCGCTCAGAGAGCTCACCGTCGTTTCCATCTATTGTGTTGCGGTAATTCGTTACACAATTTCCTGTAGCGGTGTGCGGAAGGGAATGGCGGTCAGTACCATTACTGCAGTGAAGGCGGGGTTGCTGGGTTTTTTTTTTTTTTTTTTTTTTGCTGGACCGGAGACAGCCAGGTAACGCAAGGTGATGCAACACCTATAAAGGTGTAGGCCAGTTTTAACCGCTTTCCCCCGTGGCATCCTCGCTCTGTAAGGCTCAAGTACTTAATGGGAGCATTCCTGAGCGACTCGTTTTGTGATTCATTTCCAAACATATAACGTTAAATGAGATTATAACATGACAGGAGCGCATCCCAAGGTGCTGTGATTCAGTGCGCACTGCTTTCATTCTGCTGCTTAGTGAAAACTCATCCTCTCCTTTTCATTTTATTGCTCAACCTGTCTCAATTCAAAAGTGTGTTTGTATTAGTCTTCGGGCTGCCCCGTTCGCAGGCTGTTCTCTCTTTTGAATTTCAAAGGAGATAATGTGCCAAACATTAGCCTGTGCTAATGTACCATGACCTGCAGCCTGTCATCGCCGTGATGTGGCAAACAGATGCTGGAACAAAAGCTTTCATTTGTGCTTTAATTTCTTCTAACAGTTCATGTGCTCACGTTGCTTTATAGCAATGATGACCTGTTGTATAAATCCGTTTGTATTCCAACATAAAGGTGGACAAACTTTCTGCATGTGTTACAGTGAGACAGACAATAGATGGGTTATTAATTGTATTCCATCCCAGACTTCTGATGATGATGATAACTGATAATCTTCAGGTGACTGTAGATACATTAGACTTAACACATTTTGCTGTTTTCAGTCCTCATGGAGTCAAATCTCCTTATGATTATTTTAATTACCGGTTAACTTATAGATTATTTTCACAATAAATTGTCTGTAAAATGTCAGATAATTGTAAAAAATGTGCATTATAATTCCCCAGAGACTCTGTATTTAGCTTGTTTTTTCTGACCAAAAGGTAGTTTACTGATTTTTACATACAACAAAGAGCAACAAATCCTCACCTGTGAGAAGCTGGAACCAGAGATGTGTTTAGATGTCTTTTCAGCTCATCTCATAACACCTCACATCTCCTTTCCTCATAACAGTTATGCTGAATCTTGTTTATTATTATGGTTCTGAGAACATTATAAGTCAAAGTACTACACATACAGTTTTCACAGTGGTTTATATGAAGAAATACTGACAGCTGTAGTGTTAAAGGGCAGAGTTGAGGGGTTAAAGAAATCTACTTTCAGTCTCTGTAATTCAAACATTGTTTGTGCTCTTTGATGTAGTAACTTTAATGGATAGTTAGGAACACGTGAAGCTAGATGTGAGCAGTTCAGACTGCAGTTTGTCCTTGAATATCTTTTTTTGTATGCGTGAGCAATGCTGGCCTATAAAACCTTGTGTTTTGGAGTCATTTCCTGTAGTTATGATCTCATTTATAATGAGCTACACGGCAGTTTGGGACAGGCTTTCTCTGTGCTGCTTTAGTGTGCCGCCTGAGATCAGATGGCATTGTCCTCCCCTATACTAGCTAACCCTAACCTGCCTGGTGTCAGTGGTAGTTGACAGGTCAGTCGGCCTTGCTCGACTTCTTTAGAGAGATTATTTCCCACCAGTCAACAGATGTAAACATGGTTGTATAAAAGCCCGGGAAACAAGTGTCACCCAGCTGTAGGCCTGCAGAGACCTCCGACAACCCTCACTTTTCTCTTAGTGTACTATGTATTTGAAAACCCTTACCACACATTACACTGTACATTATGTATATGGACGTCTTTGCAAAAAAAAAAAAAGAGAAAGTATGAAGTTGTTATTGTTTTTATCTAAACCCAGCGGCCTTAATGAACTTGTTTTCAACTCCACCAAATGTTATTCGTCTGCAGTTCTTCTGTAAGTGGCAGGTGTGGGCCCTCCGTGCGCCGCCTGTTGCTGCTGCCACTTTGGTCATGGCTTCGTCATCCAACGCCTTTCCCCTCACTTTAAAGTGCTGCATGTTTGTGTGTGTACGAGTGTGCTCTCAGCTGAGCTGTAATCTAACACTGCAATTTAGGGACTAGAGGAATGCGGCCTGGTGTTAACATACCTTGACAGGATAAACACAGCGGCCTACTCCCAGACTTGGACTGCTCATACGTATAAGGCTGCCAGGGCCTGGGCCTTCACCAGCGTCTGTCCGTCTGTCCCGTGGAGGTTTTTGGAGACATAAGAAAAGGGGTTGGGTGTTGTAAATGGTGTAAACCCTGTATGTGGAGTTTTCCTGTAATCAAGAAACATAGTGTGTGAGGTCCATTTTTAAAGTATCTCGAATCCAGTATTGTTGACCATCCATGTTTACTAGCTAACATTCTTCTTCTTCAGTGCCTTTGCTGGCGCTCTGCAGCATATCTTTGCGTGTTACTGCCACCTGAAGATCAGTGGAATAGTAGGAAACCATTGGCAGGACTGTGTATCGAGTCACCCACGTGCATGTCCGACAGTGTGTGCGTGCATGAGGTAAAACGGGGACCCACTCATACAAAAACAGCTCCATAATGCTACTACAGAAACCTTTCTCTCTGTTTTGGAACCACTTACGGTTCTAGAGCGGATGCTCTGCTAAAAATGTAGAATTTCATATACCATAACAATCCTGGGATGTACATTTGGTTAAATAATGTGCCGCCTTTTCACTAGCAGTGATACTGGTGTATTAACAGACAAGTGTAGTGTTTACAACAGCTTTCAATGACTGTTCACTGACTGCTGTTTTTTGTTGCTATGAAAGTGCTTTGAATTACTGTTTTAAAGGAATAGTCTTGTCTCTTTGGTGATATGCTCTTTGATCAGGTTGCTGTTGTTTGATGCGTAGATGAGTAGCATTTTCTCTGTGTGTCTGGTATTTATTCACCTCTCCTCTGTAGATGTTGGAGCTGTAATGCTCCATCAATGCTTTACTTGTCATACAAGCGAGCTTTGCATCATCTTATAAGGACTATGGCCCTACAACTGAGCTTATTGGCTTATTGTTTCAAACCAGTGCTTTATAGTTCACTGTGCACGACTATATTCTGTTTATCAGTGTATCTAGACCACTGCAGCATAGCTTGAAAACCTTGTACAACCACACTCAAAAAAGGGTTAAATATGAAAAATGCTGCGGCATGTTTTATCGTCTGTCTTTGCATGAATGAACCATTTTCTTGAGGTCACCCTAAGGTGCTCCAGTTACAGTTGTCCTACAGAGCAGGGGAGTCATGTGAGTGTCCAGCCTCTGAGGCAGTATCAAGCATTTATTTGTAGCTAATCGGCCTTTGCCATCCTCTGGGTTCATCCTGGTACACTCATTTGATTAGTCCGATACCAAATGTTAGTGTTTAATGTGTAATTATGTTTAGTAAGCACAATTACATGACGTCCAACTTGTTATTATGCTCATCTAATAATCAAAGCTGTTTTTATATGAAGGACTAGTAAGTTTTAGTTTTAAGTTATATATTATTTTGAGGGTAATTTGAATATTTATGCACATATGCACCATTGTAGTCTATCTGGGAGATGGCAGTGTCAGAGGGAAATGATCCTGAGTGGTATTAGAAGTGGTTGTGGTTAACAGTAGCTGTTAATTGATCCATGACCATTGGTCATTCATGTTACTTTCTCCTTGTGCTAAAGAGCCTGGGGCTTGTGTGTGTGTGTGTGTGTGTGTGTGTGTGTGTGTGTGTGTGTGTATTTGTGTGTGTGTGCTGTTTCCCTTGCACAAATGGGCCTGAGGAATGACAAAGCACTACAGGATGTCTTTAGCAAGTCAGCATTGACCCCTCCCATCGCCTTTTATGGTCCAGAGGGGGAGGTGCGTCAGGGCTACTGATGCTGCTTCTGTGACTAATTGTGTGTTTGTGTGTATGCGTCGGAGAGAGAGTGTGTGTTGTGTGTGTGTGTGTGTGTGTTTGCATCAAGGTGGGAAACTGCTACTTTCCTCCAGGCTTTGCATAACAACACAGGCCTGCATGTTTGGATTTACATGCATTAACATGGTGCCTGTTAGGAAACATCAGCAGTTCCTGCGGATGCTGTTGCGTTTCAATTAGATGACGTCGGCTGATAAAGGCACCTTGACAGATCAGGCGTGCAAAGATGACTCAATATAGCCTAATAAAGGTATACACATCAGCTTCAAACAGGTTTAAACAACATAGACCACTGCATTAGACCTGTGTAGGGTTTATGCAGTTATAGCAGGTTAAATTAAATAATCTGTATCTGGATCATTTTATTCATCATGTAATAAATAGCACCCTTTAGTACTATTCAAGTGCATATAACTATCATGGCTAACATAACTATAAAGCAAACATTAGTTATGTTTAATGAGATGAAGAAAATAATATCAACTGTGCCTTAATACGTTCATCGGACTTTAAAGACATAAAGTGGGGGATTTGCTTACAATACAAACACTGTGACACGGTTTTCACAGCACTGATGTACACTGTACATCCACAGATGTTCAGGGAGCATGTGGGAGAGTTGCTGGGGGTAAGCTATGCCAAACAAAACAGCCACAATCACAATCAATTCAACAACTAAACTACATATTCAGAAAGCAACCTCAGTTAAATGACAAATGACTAAAAACATCAGCCACCGCA